ACGTTTTGGCGTTATAAAGAAAATCTAGCCTAACTCCCCAACCCCAAAAATAGCACGAAATGAAACGTTTTCATCACACCTTTTAAATAAATCCTGGCTTCTGTTGCAAAAAAATTGCATTTATTCCTAAATGATACCATTTTGTGCACACTACATTTGCTGATATGTTAATTTGAGAGACATTTCATTCACAAAGGATGTTGACTGAGACCAGCTTCTCCTCTGCACTGAACCACATTCTTGTTTAATGCATCAGTATCTGCTTGATAATTCTTCCCATGTACAACTTACATAAGGGGTTCATCTGGATACAATAAATAGCTCTCAACAGTAATAACAGACAAATTCACCCATCCATTTGTGTCATGTTTGTTGTGGCATCCCAACTCATTTGGGTCCTTTAGTAGCAGTATTTCTTTTTTGAGCGAACAGCATTATATGCACCCCTCTAATAAACTCCCTGCCTTATCAGGCTTTGAAGGTGAACAAACATCATCAGTTAGATTTATGCTGTGATGGCCATTCTCTGTTTTGAATGGATCACTACTGTCACCAAATATATAAATTGTAATAAGAAATCGATTGTGGAACACAGGGGCCGTCAAGAGTCGCTTCAAAAGAGTAGCTTAGGAAAAATCTCTGTATCTTTTAGAGGTAAAGAAAAATGAAAGTATTGATTGTTTTTTGGGGGTGCATTTGTTTTGTCTGCAAGTGAGCTTATGAAATGCTCAAGTGATTATGTAGTACATAATCACTTGTAATTGTTGCTGTCTCAGACTCAATCCATTCTTCATTTCCTGTAGAATATATTTTATATATTTTCCCACGAAAACTTTCGAAAAACTGTAAAAAAAATACCCATAGATTTCATGTTTTTGTGGCATATATAAACGCGTGTCTCCACGATCAGTTTAAACATGAGACAACGTGCTAATAAATAAACCTCGCGTAGTAATGTTTTTTTTTCGCTTTCCTTAAGGAGCTGAACATTACTCCGATTCATTTCTCCCTTGATAAGAAAAACCATGAGTTTGGAAATCAAACCATAGAAATGCATTGCTTTGCCAGTGAAAATCAGATTTATACAGGAACAGTGATTTTTGGCGTTGAGTCTTTAAAGTGTTTAAAAGATCAAGAAAACCTACTGCTGAAAAATCTACAACTGAAAACCCGCGTAGAAAACGTCCGATTTTTGTCATGGAGAACATTTTTTGTAGGAAAGTACAGTGATGATCTTTACATATATAAACAAGGGTTTCACCAGAACAGTTATTGCTGTGTGCTACAAATTTACGCTATTGAGTAGGGTTGTGTCAGCAAATTGTTTCACCCAGGCGGTCTTTGGCTCCGTCACGCGTTCCTACCCCGCGAACATACGTGCGGGAGGCTAAGAAATGTTGAACTCTGAAGTTTCTACTTTGACGATCCTTGTTCTTTATTCCGTTCTGTGGTATAGTCATGAGACAAGGAGATACTCACAATTTCATTGCTTTCTATATAATGTCCTTTATTAACTGAACCACTATCTTTATAGTACAAATCATAATCTACTTTCACTTAGTATCAGTACTTTTATATTCGTCCTGTATTACTTTAAGATCACTTAGTACATGTAGTTTCACTGATGTTGGTAATAGTACATAATCGTTACTATGGTAATCAATACACTACATCCTTCCCGGGCGGGTTCTAAGAATATTCGAAAGATACATTCAACTGTTCACAAGATCATATAAATCAACAAAAATCAATGTCAATAATATACAAAATTGTCACAGTCCTTAGTTGACTTTACAACTCGTCCTGACCTAGTGGTGATGACCTGTTCATTCTGAGAGGCTTGCGCGTTAACATGACCAGAAGGTTCAGTGTCGTGACAAGCGTCAGAAACCTTAGCACTAGAGTCACTAGAATTGTTGGACTCCTTATAGTTAGTAGAAATTTCTACCTCGCCATCTTCATCTATGTTCTTACTAGGCGCATGTTTTAAGTACTTTGCATTGCGAACCAAGGTGGTACCCGTGTCCACGTTGACTAAACTGAACGTGTCCCGCGCTTTGGTCTCAATGATAACGTGCTTAGACGAAGAGAATTTCGAGTCCAATTTGTTGGGCTTCATATTAGCACAAAACACGACATCGCCAACGCTAAAATTATGCGGGGACGCATGTTGCTTGGTGTCATGATAGTCTTTCAATTTCGCTTGATACAAGCTACATTTTGATCGATGGTCGCGATCAAGTGCCGATGCTGCTTTATCTGAGTTAGACTCAATGTGCGGTACCTTCGTACGAATTTCGTAATTGAACAACAGCATACTAGGCGATTTTCCACTAACTTGATGTGGCCTTGCGCGAAAAGTCATAAGAATTTTCGGTAGTTCCCTTTGCCAGGACTTGCCTTCAGAGATCACCGCTCGAAAATTTTCTTCAAGTATCGGTGAAATCTCTCCAACTTTCCGTTACTTCGCGCATAGTACGGAGAAACACGAATATGCCTTATTCCACACGATTTGAGAAACGCTTCAAATTCTTCGCTGATGAACTGTTTTCCGTTGTCTGAAACGAGTTCCTTTGGAAACCCAAATCTAGCGAAAATATCAGTTAGGGCCTTAATGACTCCGCGTGAAGTGATTTCTTTTAGGACGTACGCTTCCGTATAAGACGAATAATAATCAAGGTAGGTCATATGAACTTTCCGTCGACTGGACCAACGAGATCCACTGCGCCTTTTACCCAAGGACCACGAGGTAGAGGCGTTGGCTGAAGCGCCGTGTATTTATTCAAAGGTTGATTCACCACGCATGCTTGACAATTTTTGATCATTTTCTCTGTTGCATCGTCCATGCCAGGCCAGAAAAAACGAGATCTAAGAAATTGTTTGGTCTTTACAATTCCCTGATGCATCTCGTGCGCTAGTGATAGAATTTGTTTTCGTAAAGACTGTGGAACAACAATTCGATTCCCTCTAATAATTACTCCTTCAAAAATAGACAATTCGTCCTTTACGCGGCTATACGGTTCAAGATCTGTATCGCGCGACCATTTTCCATTTTGAATTTGGGCAAGTAATTTGGACAGCGTGACGTCTTTGCTAGTTTCGCATCTCATGTCAGAAAGAGTGACCGCTTGAAGATGTGACATATTTGACATGTAAACAAATCGTACATAATTTTCGCAAACGAAACAGGTATCTGAACAATCATTTTGCTTGAATGGCAATCGCGACAGCGAATCTGTTGTTTTGGCGTTCCCTGCAATATGCTGAATACGAAAACTGTACCGATGTAACCTCCAAGCTAAACGCTGGATACGAGGAGGTAAAAAGTTGCTTGAATATCGATCAAACATAGACGAAAGAGGCTTGTTGTCGGTCAACAAAGTAAACTTAATGCCAAGCAAATAATTGTGTAGACGTTCGACAGCCCATACGCAACTTAACGCTTCGCGCTCAATTTGTGAATACCTCCGTTCCGTAGATGTGAGTGATCGACTAATGTAGGCGATCTGTTTACGCTCACCGTTGACTTGGTCTTGCAATAAAATTGCACCTAAACCATCTGGACTGGCGTCTGTGATTACGTAAGTCGGGGCATTTAAGCTAAAACAAGCTAAAACTGGTGCGTCTGACAGCGCTTTTTTTCAAGGCTTTGAATGCCTTTGCTTGTTCTTTTTCCCATGTCCATTTCTGCCCCTTACGAGTAAGCTTTCTAAGCGGTTCAACTATGTTGGCATAACTTGGAATAAATTTAGAAACATAGCTACAAGTTCCAAGAAACGATCGGAGGTCAGAGACATTGCTAGGAGGAGGCGTAGCTTTGATGGCTTCCGTTTTCGCCACATCAGGTTCAATTCCTCTTTCAGAAACAACGTGCCCTAAAATCGTTATTTGTTTCACTCCAAATTCGCATTTGCCACGATTGAGCTTGAGGTTGTACTGACGACATCGATCTAAAACCTTGCGGATGCGCCTTAGAAGTTCGGTCATGGTTTCCGCGTAGATAATTACATCATCGACTGAAATACGGACACTCTCAATGCCAAACAAGATTTTATCCATCATCTTTTGAAAAGCTTCGCTCGCATCACTGAGACCGAGGGGAGTTCGCTTGAACCTATAACAACCACGAGGCGTAATAAACGTGGTAACGTAACGCGACTCTTCAGCCAACGTAAGCTGAAAGAATCCGCTCTTGGCATCGATCTTTGCAAAATACTTAGAGCCGCGCATAGCATGTAAAGTATCGTCTATCTTAGGTAAAACATAACGTTCCCTAATTGCAGCCTTATTAACTTCTCTAAGGTCACAACATACCCTTATATCGCCCGACTTCTTAGGGACAATTACTAAATTGGAAACCCAAGGACTTGCTTCAGTGACCTCTTCAATAATATCTTGTTCTAACATTCTGTCAAGTTCATTATTCACAGCTTCAATTTGACTGACAGGTATGCGTCTTAGCTGTTGACTTACAGGTTTGACCTCTGGGTCAATAGTAATTTTATGTTCAAAATCAGTAACTTTTCCTAGTCCTTGGAAAACGTCATCGTACTCCTTGAGCAATGAATCCAGCTCACCTTGATTACTACTCTGACCGACTGAATTTACTTGGGTAAGTATTCCTAACTTGAAACTAGAGTCTCGTCCAAGTAATGATTCTGCATTACCCTCAATTACATAAATCTTTGAATTGACAGTTTTGTCGCCTACCGCAGCGTTAAAGTAACCCTTACACTTTAATGGATCTTTTTGTCAATACGCAGTAAAACGCTTTTGAGTTTGACTCAGTTCATAGTTCTTAAATTGCGTCTTATGCAACTCTGAGGATATTATGTCGTACTTACTACCGGTGTCGACGATCATTTTGATCCGTTGTTCGTTAATCCTCACTGTGATGGAACTGTCACCATTGTTGAGAGAGAGTACAGGTTCTTCACTCTCGTCATCTGAGCTGTTTTCAAGCCAGTCTGTGCCACGTTGCGAGTTCAAGCTGCGGACCTTCATGGGCGGTTTCTTTTCTTTTCCTTTCTTGCCTTTCCTTTGGTCAGCTTTGGACTTTGAACGTCAAACCCTCTGCAAGTGTCCGACTTTTTTGCACTTGTTACACCTGGACTTGATCGCGCCACATTCGTCAGGAGCATGTCCGTCTGTTCCACCACATCTGTAGCAGCTGAAAGTTTTTGCTTGTGATCCCCGAGAAGCGTGCACGTGATCGATCTGGATCGGGTTTCTCTGGTGCCTTGAGACAGCAATCGCGCTTCTTGCACGGCCGTTTCTGCATTCCGCGCAATTCTCACTGTTTTTGCCAAGTCAAGGTCTTCTTGCTGCAGCAGTTTCTGCTTTAAGGTTTGGGAAGAGCACTTCTCGACAATTTGGTCCCGTATCATCTCCTCTTCCAAAGTGCCAAAGTCGCAGGATTTTACCAGCTCTCGAAGGCTCGTCAGGTACGTGTCAAACGACTCGTCTGCCTTCTGTGCTCTCGACCTGAATTTGTAGCGTTCTGCTACCACGTTCCGTTTCGGGGCAAAGTACCCATTCAAAGCGGTCTTGGCTTCTTCGAGGCTCTCGTGTTCGCCAGGGAGCGTGTTGAAGATGCGTTGCACTGCGGGGCCAAAGCAATGCAACATCGTGGCTCTCTGAACTGCATCATCCTTTTTCTGTAGGTCAGATGCTATAGAGTAGATCTCAAACGCGCTACTCCAGTGTTTCCACTCGCTGTACAGATCAGTCGCATCAATGTTGAATGCGGTGGGTGCGGGCAATGAGCGTTCCATTTCTCGCGGAACTTCGTCTTGTTCAACCTCGTCTGGCTCAGCTTCGTCGGCCGGGTCTGGCGGAGCAGTATTCTCTGCTTGTGCTGCCTGTTCTGGCTGCTCAGTTTCGTCGTCTGCGCGGTCTGCAGTTACAAGTTCATCCTCGTCGCCAATGTGTGGTGTAGTCATGAGACAAGGAGATACTCACACTTTCATTGCTTTCTATATAATGTCCTTTATTAACTGAACCACTATCTTTATAGTACAAATCATAATCTACTTTCACTTAGTATCAGTACTTTTACATTCGTGCTGTATTACTTTAAGATCACTTAGTACATCTATTTTCACTGATGTTGGTAATAGTACATAATCGTTACTATGGTAATCAATACACTACACGTTCAAATATGAGTAAACATGGAACACATCCTAAGCTTATAATTCGATTTTCAAGTTGTTGAATGTTAGAAAGAGAAATTATCGAAAACAAACGGCAAAAACATCAAACATAAAGAGAAAAACCAAAAGTAGCCCGGAAGCTTGTGTAAATTTAAACCGCAAACAACAGGGCCATTCTATTTAATATACACCCTCCCCGTTGATGAAGGACTTTGAAATTTTCCTATTCCTCAGAAAGATGCTCTTTTTACCCCCAAACCCCTCAGAAAATTCGCCCTACGAGTCTACTAGCCTTAAGAAATTTTTGCTTTTCTGTTACTTCCCCTCCAAACATCTGGTATTCAGCCCTTCAACCTTCAGAAATTCCACGTTTTTGCTTACTTCTTCAGAAAATTTCGTTAACGAGTGTGTGTGTACATTAAAAGGAATGGCTCACACTCACCGAGGGCAAAATCGTTGTTATTAAACCTTTTTTATCCATGCGACTTAACTCTAGGACAGCTTACTTACCAGCTGAAGAATCTGCTTTGTTATTCACAGCAACATTTGAGTCTAGAACTTCTTGCTTACTGAGGTCAGTGATCGATTCGTTGTTGTCTTGAGGCGCTGAAGAGGATGCGGTGTTAAACAGGAAGAAGGTTGCGCGACATTTTGAACATTTCAATGACAGCTCCTGATCTTCTTCAAGGACACCATCGTTACAGTGAGGACATTTCATTTTATGTGTTTTAGGGAATTTATTCCCGTCAACGTCGAAAGGTATACATCTCTCATGTAAGAGAGCTCTGTTTCAACAAACGCGGAAGGGAGTGGTTTCCTGGAAGCAACGCCTGGAGGATATCGTTCCCTGGGGAGGGTAAGTGAGAGATTCCATATATTGGGCGTCGGAATGCATGGCCCAGGGGGCGGGGGTCATTATCGAGCCAATCTCTTTACCTAAAGAATTTCTCCGAGCCGAAAATAATCGACTTACAATTGAGCCAAATTACAAAAAAATCAGTGTATTCAAAAAAGTATGATAGTTCAAGAATCTGTTAAATCAAATTGTCCTGGGGAATGGGGATGGGGAATCACGAATAATAGGAGCTCCTGTTAACAAATAAAAACTTTTGAAAAATCACGTCTCACGAGAAGAATGATAGCCCAAATCGCCCTTTACCAAAGTATATGGGACTATCTATACCTCAAGCGACTGTATTGGCAACTGGTAACTGAATGAGCCTGTCTACTAACTGAGGGGTTTTAATGAGATGGTTTGTCGGTTTTGGGTTACAGTGTGTTAGTGATAAGAGGTCACGCTTCCTAAGATCCCTCCCAAATCATTTAGTTAATGATTAATGAAACCAAGAATACTTCCGTGAATGAATGGTGCTTCGATGAAGGCTGTGAAAAATCGCTTTCTTCACCAGTACGTCTTCGTTGAGAAATAAAATACACGCACTTCAACTATTAATTTAATTCAATATAATGACGCCAGTAAGATGGTGTTTTGAAAATAAGAAAACTCTATCATTAAGTTATACATAGTAAAGAAATTACAGCAATCGGTTTAAATTCTGATTTTTGCCACCTTATTGTTTGTTTACATTTCATTATGCAAATAAATAAAACGTTTTGGCGTTATAAAGAAAATCTAGCCTAACTCCCCAACCCCAAAAATAGCACGAAATGAAACGTTTTCATCACACCTTTTAAATAAATCCTGGCTTCTGTTGCAAAAAAATTGCATTTATTCCTAAATGATACCATTTTGTGCACACTACATTTGCTGATATGTTAATTTGAGAGACATTTCATTCACAAAGGATGTTGACTGAGACCAGCTTCTCCTCTGCACTGAACCACATTCTTGTTTAATGCATCAGTATCTGCTTGATAATTCTTCCCATGTACAACTTACATAAGGGGTTCATCTGGATACAATAAAAAGCTCTCAACAGTAATAACAGACAAATTCGCCCATCCATTTGTGTCATGTTTGTTGTGGCATCCCAACTCATTTGGGTCCTTTAGTAGCAGTATTTCTTTTTTGAGCGAACAGCATTATATGCACCCCTCTAATAAACTCCCTGCCTTATCAGGCTTTGAAGGTGAACAAACATCATCAGTTAGATTTATGCTGTGATGGCCATTCTCTGTTTTGAATGGATCACTACTGTCACCAAATATATAAATTGTAATAAGAAATCGATTGTGGAACACAGGGGCCGTCAAGAGTCGCTTCAAAAGAGTAGCTTAGGAAAAATCTCTGTATCTTTTAGAGGTAAAGAAAAATGAAAGTATTGATTGTTTTTTGGGGGTGCATTTGTTTTGTCTGCAAGTGAGCTTATGAAATGCTCAAGTGATTATGTAGTACATAATCACTTGTAATTGTTGCTGTCTCAGACTCAATCCATTCTTCATTTCCTGTAGAATATATTTTATATATTTTCCCACGAAAACTTTCGAAAAACTGTAAAAAAAATACCCATAGATTTCATGTTTTTGTGGCATATATAAACGCGTGTCTCCACGATCAGTTTAAACATGAGACAACGTGCTAATAAATAAACCTCGCGTAGTAATGTTTTTTTTCGCTTTCCTTAAGGAGCTGAACATTACTCCGATTCATTTCTCCCTTGATAAGAAAAACCATGAGTTTGGAAATCAAACCATAGAAAGGCATTGCTTTGCCAGTGAAAATCGGATTTATACAGGAACAGTGATTTTTGGCGTTGAGTCTTTAAAGTGTTTAAAAGATCAAGAAAACCTACTGCTGAAAAATCTACAACTGAAAACCCGCGTAGAAAACGTCCGATTTTTGTCATGGAGAACATTTTTTGTAGGAAAGTACGGTATTCAAAGCTCCGACGAAATGGCCTTTAAAAGGACTGAAACTTTACGCGAGTTTGCCATTTCCAGCCATCAGATTTGATGCGCCCACGCTAATGTCGTTCAGCGGATGCACGCATGAGCACGCAAAATGCCCTCCTGTTCTTTCAGGTATGTAAACACACATATGTTTATACAGAGATAATGCAATAGACGTGAAAGACTGATTAGACCATTTGAAGTCATGTGTCTTGTATTTATTGAATAATTTGAATAATTTATCACAGATTGATTTGCGAATATCGCATTCATTGTTTGAGAGGTACATATTTTGCTTATGATCGATAAAACCATCGTGCATATATTCGACATAAAAATTAGTCTTGTTAATATATGCATCTATAGCTTGTGACATTTTGACATCTTCAGGAAGTATAATAATGTGGTTTTCTTTTCGAGACTGAATATGTCATTGACGTCTTTTAAGCGGGAAAAGTTTTCATGTCGTCCGGTCCATTTTAAATCAGACATATATTTTAATAGCTCATTACAGCCGCCTTGGTTTGCTTTGGAAGCGATAAGTTTAAGTTTTTCATCGGTGATAGGGAAACAGTGATGATCTTTACATATATAAACAAGGGTTTCACCAGAACAGTTATTGCTGTGTGCTACAAATTTACGCTATTGAGTAGGGTTGTGTCAGCAAATTGTTTCACCCAGGCGGTCTTTGGCTCCGTCACGCGTTCCTACCCCCGCGAACATACGTGCGGGAGGCTAAGAAATGTTGGACTCTGAAGTTTCTACTTTGATGATCCTTGTTCTTTATTCCGTTCAAATAAGAGTAAACATGGAACACATCCTAAGCTTATAATTCGATTTTCAAGTTGTTGAATGTTAGAAAGAGAAATTATCGAAAACAAACGGCAAAAACATCAAAGAGAAAAACCAAAAGTAGCCCGGAAGCTTGTGTAAATTTAAACCGCAAACAACAGGGCCATTCTATTTAATATACACCCTCCCCGTTGATGAAGGACTTTGAAATTTTCCTATTCCTCAGAAAGATGCTCTTTTTACCCCAAAACCCTCAGAAAATTCGCCCTACGAGTCTACTAGCCTTAAGAAATTTTTGCTTTTCTGTTACTTCCCCTCCAAACATCTGGTATTCAGCCCTTCAACCTTCAGAAATTCCACGTTTTTGCTTACTTCTTCAGAAAATTTCGTTAACGAGTGTGTGTGTACATTAAAAGGAATGGCTCACACTCACCGAGGGCAAAATCGTTGTTATTAAACCTTTTTTATCCATGCGACTTAACTCTAGGACAGCTTACTTACCAGCTGAAGAATCTGCTTTGTTATTCACAGCAACATTTGAGTCTAGAACTTCTTGCTTACTGAGGTCAGTGATCGATTCGTTGTTGTCTTGAGGCGCTGAAGAGGATGCGGTGTTAAACAGGAAGAAGGTTGCGCGACATTTTGAACATTTCAATGACAGCTCCTGATCTTCTTCAAGGACACCATCGTTACAGTGAGGACATTTCATTTTATGTGTTTTAGGGAATTTATTCCCGTCAACGTCGAAAGGTATACATCTCTCATGTAAGAGAGCTCTGTTTCAACAAACGCGGAAGTGAGTGGTTTCCTGGAAGCAACGCCTGGAGGATATCGTTCCCTGGGGAGGGTAAGTGAGAGATTCCATATATTGGGCGTCGGAATGCATGGCCCAGGGGGCGGGGGTCATTATCGAGCCAATCTCTTTACCTAAAGAATTTCTCCGAGCCGAAAATAATCGACTTACAATTGAGCCAAAT